CGGTCCCAGTCGTGGCAAGATGCTAGCGCGCCGAACGGGCAGACCAGGTGCTGCGAGCACCACAGGCGGCCGCCCTCCTTGAAAACACTGACAGCGGCCCACCTATCGGCGGGGGCCAACGGGATGCGGCGGTGAGCGGAATCTATGTCCGCTTTCCACAGCTCGGGAAGTGCGCCGTGCAACTCGAAGAAGGCGCGCGCGACCGCTACCAGCTGGTCCGCGCCCTCCACGCTGAATTTCTCGGCGGGAGCGCACGCGCCGTTCACCCTGGAGCGCGTGAAATCATCCACTGGGCGCGCTTTCAGCGACCCGTCGGGCTTCGGTTGCGAGACCCCGAACCTGGGCACCAGACGAATTGTTTCGCCCCGAGCAGCGGCGAGCTCGGCCGCGGAGATGTCGGGCCTACAAGCCCGCGGCGGAGACATCCTACCCAAGTCCGCCTCCTCCCGCGTCTTACGGAGCAGCTCGCTGGCGAGGGGATCCTCGCGAATTGATGCAAGTATCAAGTCGTCGCACGCGAGGGCGCTGGCACGCAAACGGGCTACCTCAGCGCTAGAGTCGCCCGCGCGCTCTTCCGGGCTGAGCGCGAGACCGTTGCCGCTGTATTCTAGGTTACCCAACAGAGGGGCGCCTCGCGAGAAGAAGTCGATGCACTCTGCGTCGCGCCACTCAGACTCACGCGCCAATTCCTTTAAGTGAAATGTTGACGCCTGCGATAAGCGGCCTGAATTCCAGCGGCGCAGTCTTTCTCGCGGCCTCGGCCTCCCCGGGCGCCTCGAAGTGCGCCGCCCGGGCTTCGATGCGCCGAACGCGCCCCTCGCGTTCTTTGATGCGCTGGCGTAGGCTACGCGCGGCGCTCCACCGCAGCGCTCCCATGCGCTCGCACTGCGCGTCCGTGCGCTTCGGCTGCGCGTCGCGGCGGCCGAGCGCCTCACGCGTGAAACGCAGCGCCTCGACCTCATCGGGCGCTACTTCGCCGCGCAGAGCTTGCGCGCTGGCAGCGTCGAATGCCGACTGGAAGCAACTCAGATCAGCGCAGGATGTGTTGGGGAGAACTGCACCTGACTGGACCCTCACTGGCTCCGCGGCTGACTGCGCAGGGTGCGCGGGGAGTGCCGCCCCCGCGTCGGGCGGGGCGGCTGCGGCCCCTCACTCTCTCCTCTGGCGCTTGCTTGGCGTCACCGGCGCCTGCGCCCCGCTGGCGGCACTCCCGGACGAGTAATGCCCCTGCCAGCGGTGAGAATCGTTCGCGGGCTTGCCCTTATGCTCTTTGCCGTAGCCCTTGGCCTTGCCGCCCGTGGCGCTGCGGTCGCTGCCGCCTTTGGGGCCCCTGCCGGCGCCCTTTGCCTTGCCCTTCGACTGCGCTGGAGCTCGGTCGTGCACCACTTGGAACCCGCGGGCGTCGTGCTCGCGCTCCGCCCGGAGCATGGTGGCCGCGTTCTGCGACTGCGCGGCCGCGGCGACGTCGAAGGCGCCCAGGCCCGCTGAAAGGTCTGCCCATTCGCGCCGGGCGATCTCGTCGTAGAGGACGGCGATTGCGGTCGCGCGCCCACTGGCCCGCGCCGACTGGGCGAGCTGCATCGCGACCTGCTTGTGGGCCATGGACGCCGTGAGCGGCATCTGACCGGTGAGCGCCGCGACGATTGCCCATCTGTCAAACGCGACGCACCGCTGCAGGGTGCTCGGCAGGTCCCCCTGCTTCTTGTCGGGGCCCCTTTGCCTGGCAGATGCCGCGAGCGATCTCCTGCGCGAAAGACCGCTCGACGCCGCGCTCCCCCTCGGGATCGTCGGGCTGCCTCTTGTCCGCCGCGTAGTACGGGAGGAATTTCTTGATCGGCATGTAGAGGAAGGGCTTCGTGATGCCCTTGCTCTCCGCGGCCTTGACCTGGCCCTGCACCCAGTCGGTCAGTTGCGGAGACGGCCAGCACGACGCCGGCAAGCCCGCCAAGGTCATGCCGCCCAGGCCTGCGGCGATGTCCACGTGGACCGCTGGCTTGCGGCCGCCCTGGAGCGCCTGCAGGAGGGCGCTCGCCGGCCCCTGTGAACCGCTTGGCGCCGCGGCCTCGGCAGCTGCCTGCTGCTCGGCGGACTGGTTTGCCTTTGCGACGGCGCGCTCGAGGAAAGCGACCTTGCCCTCGAACAGCCCGTTGAGCTGGAAGGTCGCGGCCCTGACGTTGAGTTTTACCAAGTCCTCCAGACTCTCGATGCCGTTGGTCGCCAGCACCTCGACCACTGGCTTCAGCCCCGCGCGGTCGCGCCTCGTGTGCCCGTCCACCCCAGACTCGAGAAGATCGAGGAGCGGCGCGGACATGGCAGGCGGTAGTGGAGCCAACCACGAGGGCGCACGACGGGAAGGTAAGCAATTCACTCGCTCGATCGAAACAGCTACGGACCGAAAACGTCCAGCCGGGCGAGCACGCAGGACCAACGAGAGCGCGCGCGCCACGGGACAACGCACGAACACGTGACACCATACTTGCCCGACTTTGGGGCGGCTAACATGTGTCGCCCGCGCTAGGGCGGGCGCACTTGCGACGGCAAAGCCGGCGCTACGGACCGTCGTGCGGGCGTGGGGGGGCCGCTTTCGGTGACGCGCACAGTCCCCGACCAGGCCAGCCTGGGCGTTGAACCCCAAGGGCGGGCGGGAGAGGCGGACAAGGGGCCGCCAACGACCGAGGCAGCCCCGCACCCAGGAGCGGGTGGGTGGGGCAGAACGGCCGACGGGCCCGCGCCGCGCGAACGCCGCACGAGCGCGGTGCCCAAATCAATATAATAGACAACCTGCGAAGCGAGCATCGCCAAGGCGCGCCGCGATCCGCCCAGTGGGCGATCCCCGCGGCGCGCCTGCGCGAGCGACCGCGGCAGGCCCGCGCGAAACAACACAGAAGCGCAAAGACGCGACTGCGGGCGGTGCGCGCTGCGGTCGGGCTGCATGCGGCGCGCGTCGCACGCGCCGCGGCGCCGCAGGGCCCGTCGGCCGACCTGCGATTTGTGCGCGCGCAGCACCCTACGGGTGTGCGCCCCCCACATTGGCCGGCTTATCCTGACAGCTCCACTGCACCAGTGTCAGAAAACCGAAGGCCGACGCACCTGGGGCGACTCTTGAGACATAGGCCTCCACGACCGCTCGGATCTCCAAGGGCGCCCTCTCCATAACCAACCAGTGCGATTGGCTCAGAGTTGGAATGACGGATGAAGGGACACCTTGCGACTTGAGCCTTGGGCCGCCATGGCTACGGACCCCTCTCCTTCTCACACATCCGACGTCTCGATTTGTTCGAAACACGGGTCCCCGACCTTCCGACCACTTCCCGGGACCGGTCTCTCACCCCGAGCCTTCTTTTGTGCCGGCCCCGAGGCCCGGCGAGGGCCCAGCGAGACCCCGAACTGCGAAAGGCCTCCGTCCCGATCTCGTCGAGGCGCTCGACGTCTGGGTTTAAGTCGGGCCTGTCCCCCTACAGGGGGATTTTCGACGAAAAATAAAAAATACCACAAAAATAGTCTGGGGACTATTTTTCTAACATTTTTTTACCTTTCTGGTGCATTTTTGCAGTATTTTCTATTTTTCGTCGAAAATCCCCCTGTAGGGGGGCACGCCCGACATCAGTCTGGGCCCTCCTGCTCCGGGCCATCGCTCGGACGTCCACTCCCCGTGTTTTGTTCGGCATCGTGCGTGGTTTTTCGCCAAGTGATCAAGAATGCTCCTCGATGCTCCTCATTGGGGGGAGAACGTCAGCACGGGGGTTAAAACTCAAATGCTTGCGGGCGAGCGCCCCTGACCCAAGCAAGTGAGCCACACGCAGTGCCAGTAAAAGTCGTGAGACAAGGCCGGCACGAGGGGGAAGGAGCGGGAAGAGGAACGAGGAGGAAGGAGGACGGGGACAGGACGAGCCAGTCGAGCCTCCGCTCAGGCCACCAAGCAGGATGCCGAGGCAGCGCCTGAGGTGCGAGGCTCGAGGCTTCGAGGCTTCGAGGCTCGAGGCTTCGAGCATCGAGGCTCGCCGCCGCCCCCCCCCCCCTCTCTCGAAGGGCCAGGGGGGCGGGGGCGGGGCTGCGGCTCGAGGCTCGAGGCTTCGAGGCTTCGAGGCTTCGAGGCTTCGAGCCTCGAGGCTGGATCGAAGGCTTCGAGGCCCTCGCCGAGGAAAAAACGCACACGTCCGAGCGATGCCAAGGGGCTCCCAGGCCGCCCCGCCTGCCGCACGCCGCAGCCCCCGCGGGGCGCAGCCCCCGCGGGGAGCGCACCGCGCGGCCGCTCGGCGCCGCTCGGCGCCGCCCGGCGGCCCAGGCCGCGACGGCGCCGAGCGCGTGCTCTCCCCGGGCGGCCGGGGGGGGGGGGCGACCCTCCTGCAGGTGCCCTGGGGCACACGAGTAAATACACACAAATACCCAAGAGCCCCCGAAGAGGCCCCAGGGGAGCCCAATACGCCGCCAAGGAGCACGGCGCCGAGCGCGTGCTCTCCCCGGGCGGCCGGGGGGTGGGGGTGGGTGGTTGGAGGCCTAGAAATTGGCACCAACACCAACACAGGGGGTCTGCCTCCACATGGAAGGTGATCCTAGATTTCGGTGTTGGTGGCACTATTTCGGTCATCTTGGAAGCCAGAATATCACCACCATCACCGAGATCGGGGTCCTCTTCCCTCGGTGAAGGCGCACAACCGATGTTGGTGTTGGTGTCAACCTCTAGGCCTGCGACCTGGGGCACACGAAGAAATACACACAAATACCTAAGAGCCCCCGAAGAGGCCCCAGGGGAGCCCAATGCGCCGCCAGCGAGCCCCAAGGCGCTCCCAAGAAGCCCCCGAGAAGCCCCAAAGACGGCCCCACGAGGCCCCAGATAGCGCTCCAGGGCCGGCGGAATGAGCGAAGCGATTAAATAAGAAGAAGAAGAAGAAGAAGAAGAAGGAGAAGAAGAAGAAGAAGAAGACAAAGGGAAACAGCAGCAGCAGGAGAGGGGGAAAACTGGGGGGTAGGAAGCTGGGCTGCGACCCGATGGGGGGCTCCTTCAGCGTCCAGAACACGGTGCCTGGCCGCAGCTCCTCCCTCAGCCTGTCCGCGAGCGCCTGCATCAGCTCCGCGGGGAAGCAGAGCGACGCGGCATACACCACGGTGAGCTCGGACAGTGGCAGCTCCTCGCTGCCCCCTCCCCTTTCGCCGACCGCTTCGAGGGAGGTTGCGAGGAGAAGGAGGAGGAGGAGGAGGAGAAGGAGGAGGAGGAGGAGGCTGGAGTGAGGAGGTAGGAAGAGGAGAAGGGGCGGTAGAGAGGAGGTTGGAGAGCTGGAGGTACGAGGGAGAAGGAAGGGAGAGTGGGCTAGACAACTGAAGGTATGAGGGAGGATGACGGGAGAGGGGGCAGGCGGCTCAGAGCAGAAGAAGGGGTGAGGCAGAAGTACGCAGGAGGGGTGAGGGTACTGGGGGAGGAGAAGCAGGAACACGAGGAGGGGAGGAGGGAGGAAGCAGGCGGGAGAGAGGCGGGAAGGGGGAAGGAAGGACGAGTGAGGAGGAAGGACCAGCGGGGAGGCGCCTCCCCCACTTCCCCACCCTCCCCTCGTGTCCCCTCGCCCCGCACCTTGTCTGTGTCGCCTCCTCATCCAGCACCTCACCTCGCACTGGAGCTAGCGCGACTGCTGCTGCTGCTGCTGCAACTGCTACTCATCCTCTCAGGACCTGTCAGCGGGGGAGGGGGCACCATGAACGCATCCTGCTCATCCACGCCCAGCCTCTCCCCATCCCGCTGTGTTTCTCCGCCTCGTCTTCCATCGACCTCTCTCTCATTCTCTTGTGTTCAGCCTCCCCCCCCATCTCCTCAGCCTCCTCCGCCTCCTCTTCCTCTTCCTCATCCTCCTCCTCCTCCTCCTCCTCCTCCTCCTGCCTCCTGCTGCTCCCTCCTCCTCCTCCTCCTCTCCTCCTCCTCCTCTTTCTCCTCTCCCTCCTCCTCCTCCCCTCCTCCTCCCCCTCCTCCTCCCTCCTCCTCCTCCTCCTCTTATTCTTCTTCTTCTTCCTCTCCTCCTCCTCCTCCTCCTCCTCCTCCGCCTCCTCCTCCTCCTCCTCCTCCTCCTCCTCCTCCTCCTCCTCCTCCTCCTCCTCCTCCTCCCCCTTCCCTTCCTCCTCCTCCTCCTGCTCCTGCTCCTGCTCCTGCTCCTGCTCCTGCTCCTGTTTTCTGCTCCTCCTCCTGCTTCTCCTCCTCCTCCTCGCCCTCCCCTCCCCGCCAGCCCTCGCCCGGCTACCTCTCTTCACGACGGGGCACGGCTCTGGGAGCGCGGCTCGCGCGGGGCGCGGCCTCATCATCGCTTTCCTCGCGTCTTGGAAACTGTCCCTGCGGACTGAATGCATGCAAGCTGGGTGGCGAAGCAAAGTTTCCAGGCTTCTGCTGGAATTGCCGAGAGTTGTCGAACATCATACGCATTGCTCTCGCAGATTCTCTTCGCGTGCCTCTGCGGAGGCAGGCCGAAATAGAGGTCTCCTGGATGGGGTCCGAGTAGATGGGGTCGGAGGATCGCGCCGCATCGCCGACGCATCGCCGATGCATCGGCGATGCGCCGGCGATGCATCGGCGACGTCGGCGACGCATCCTCGACTTCGGCGTGGATATTGTCGGGCTTCGCATCGAACCACATCGCCGATGCATCGGCGATGCGGCACGATCCTCCGACCCCATCTAATCGGACCCCATGTAGGAGCCCTAGGCGAAAGTCCTAGTCTGATAAGCGTCGATTGCCTGATACCCACTCCCCACTCTACACTTCGAGCATGGGGTCGACTACAGGATGGGATTACCCCAAACTTGATTCTCTCGTCGAATGAACGAAAAAGAGGAATAATGCTCCTAGAACTAGAGCATTCTATGCAATTTTCGCAGACAAATTTAGGGGTAAGCCAGTTCTGTAGTCGCCCCCCCTACCTGAACACTGGCATGGCCGTGGCACCACTCGCCACATGGCCTTGGCACCACTGGCCAGTGTGGGTATACGCTGCTCCCTTCGGATGTTGCAGGACCTCCCCACCCGAGGGCTGAGGTGCCATTGCCCAGCAGTGGGGGCTGGGATCGGCTAGCTGAATGCTGCTGATCTAAGCCCCAGCTCCCCCTCGCCCCCGCCGCCGCCTTCGACGCCTGGTGCTTGTCAGGTCATACCTCGGGCCTCCGGCGACCCTTTGGGACCACGCGGGCACCCTCGGGAAACTCTCGACGAGGCGCAGCTGCTGGAACGCACCCCGAGACGCGAAAAAACCTGCAAGAATCGACAACTCCGCCCCCCATCCACGGCAAAAACGTCCTCGCCCACCCGAGTGAACTGGATCTGAGGCTGCCCGCGACTCTGCCACCGCGTGACGTACGTGGCCTGGGCAGCCTAACGCCCGGAGCCCTACTGCCACCAGGTGTACGTAGGCAATCGAGTATCAACGAACGTCCTTCGACCCCCCCATCAACGACAAAATCGCGCCCACCCACCAACGGGTGGGCGAGAATGTTCTGGCGATGTGGTGGCTTGGCGCGGGTGGAAACCAGCGATGCGGCGATTTGGGCGATTCGCCGTCAGAGCGCGCCGACGACGCCAACAAGTGATCAGGAAAAGATGTAAACACGATCGCGTTGGCGGCGCGCACAAGGGGACAGGGGGAGGGAGGAAAGCTTCATAGAAGCAAAGGTGTCTCCGAGAAGCCTTTCCCCCCTCCCCGTACAGTGGAGGTCAGTCCACAAGAAACCGCCCACAAGACACCCAACCCTGCGACCCCAGGACGTCCCTCGGTCCTCGGTGAAGGAACGTCGCGCTCGCCATCGCAAAGCCATCGTTGGAGGCCTAGAAATGGGCACCAACACCAACACAGGGGGCTGCCTCCACAGGGGGAAGATGCTCCCAGATCTCGGTGTTGGTGGTAACATTTCGGTCACCTTGAGGCCAGAATAGTACCACCATCGCCGAGATCGGGATCTTCTTCCCTCGGTGGAGGCACACCGCCGAGATTGCTGTCGGTGTCGACCTCTAGGCCTCCGACGTGGAAAAACCAGAGCAGACCAGGGCACCCTGGAGGCAGCCAAGGCGCTCCCTGGCACGGCTCTCCACGGCACCCCCCCTGCGCCCGGCCGGCCGCGGTGGGCGATGGGGGCGGGCGGCTCTCTGCCGGGCTGCCCCCCTCGCCCCTCCAGGAAGGCCCCCCCGCGTGCCGCTCCAGCGCCCCACGCCCGAACCCTGCTCTGGGATCCCTTGCCGTCGCTCGGGCGTACATTTCCCGTGGATTTTTCGGTTTCGTGCGTGATTGTTTGCTCGATGGTCCGGGATGGTGCTCGGTGGTTCTCGCCGAGGCAAAATGCACACGACCGAGCGATGCCAAAATCAGGGCTGAACCTGAACGGTGTTTTTCGTTTTCGTTTTGCTTTCGTTTTCCCTCGCTCTTGTCTCGAATCCGCCTTTACCGCAAAACGAAGGCGAAACGAAAACGGCCCACGAAATCGCCAAAAACACCGTTTAGGTCCAGCCCTGTCTGGGATGTTTGCACCCCCCTCGATTCAAACTAAATCCATCAGCTAACAAAGTCGTAAATCAACAAAACGGTCGTGTGCGACCAGGTGATTGGTCTTTGAGCTTGTGCAACCTTTCGGTTGGGAACGGAAGACTCGTGCAACTTCTTCGATTGGGAAGCGACAGGTTGTGCAATCATTTGTCGTTTTGTCGGGACGGATTCGGTTCTCGAGCTTGTGCAACCTTTCTACTTGAGAATTGACGACACGTGCACCTTCTTCCAGAGGGGAGCCGACGACCTGTGCAACCTTGTTCGTGTGCTCAGATCGGGCTCGGCTTTCGAACTTGAAATACCTTGTTTGACTGAGAACGGACGACCTGTACAGGATCTTGATGGGGAACAGACGAGTGGCGCATTTTTCGTTATGTCGAAACAGGCTAGGTTTTAGAACTTGTGCAACTTTTCTCATAAGTGACGACTCGTGCAACTTCTGTAATTGGAAACCAACGAATTATGCAACTTTTCTCGTTTTGTTTGGTCGGGCTTTCGGATTGAGAACTGTCAGCTGATGCAACGTTTTGATTCGGACGCGACGAATTGTGCAACCCTTTCGTTTCGTCGGGCCGGGCTCGGCTTTCGAACTTGTGCGACTGTTGCGAGTGAGTGCTGAAGACTTGTGCAGCTTCTCTTGGTTGGGAACAGAAGATTCCTGCGACCTTTCCACTTGAGAACTGACGATTTGTGCAGATTTTCTTGAATTGGGGACCGACGGGTTGTGCCGCCTTTTTCGTTGTGTCTGATCGGGCTAGGTTTTCGAACCTGTGCGACCTTTTTGATTGAGAGATGTACGACTTGTGCAGCTTGTTTTGACTGGGAACCGACGAATTGTGCAACATGTTGTCTTCAGATCGTGCTCGGTTTTCGAACTTGCACAAGCTTCTTGAATTAGATTCGGCAACTTGTGCAGGTTTCTTGTTCGAGAAGCGACGAAGGTGCAACCATTCTTGTTTTGTCGATACGGGCTAGATTTAAGAACTCGTGAAATTTGTTGAATGAGAATTGACAATATGTACCACTTCTGGGCTCGAGAAGCGACGATGTGTGTAACCATCCTCGTTTTGTCGGGTCGGGTTCGGTTTTTGAATGTGTGATACTTTCTCCGTTTGAAAAGTGGCTATCTTTGCAGCTTTTTGATTGGGAACCAAATCCAGCTCGTTTCGTCGGGCCGGGTTCGGATCTCGAACTCGTGCAACTTTTTTGTTGGAGAACACACGCCTTGTGCAGTTTCCTTGAGTGGGAAACGACGAGATGTAAAACTTGTTTCGTTTTGTCGGCCCGGGCTCGGTTTCGAGTTTGTGCAACGTTTCGACAGCGAGTTGCCGACTTGTGCAGCTTGTCTGATTGGGAAACAACAGAATTGCGCGAACGTTCTCGTTTTGTCGGGTCGGGCTCGATTTTCGAAAGTGCGCAGCGTTTCTGAATGAGAACTGACGACTCGGGCACTTGCTTTCGTTGGGAACGACAAGTGGCGCAACCTGCTTATCTTCGTCGGGTTAGTTTCGGTTTTCGAGCTTGTGCAAACTGTCTGATTTAGACTTGACGTCATGTGCAGTTGCTTGATTAAGAACCCCACGAATTGTGCAGCTTGTTTCGCTTTGTCGGATCGGGCTCGGTTTTTCGAACACGTATCCCACAATGATTTAGGATTGGCGACTTGAGCGTCTCTTTTGTAGTTTCGCCGGGTCGGGCTCGATGTTCGATCTTGTGCAACCCTCTTGACTTAGAACTGACGACCTGTGCAATTTCTTTGGATAGGAACCGACAATTTGTGCAACCTTTGTGGTTTCGTCGGGTTGGGCACAGTTTTCGAACATGTGCAACCCTTTTGACTTCGAACTGACAGTTTGTGCAATGTTTTGATGTTTCGTCGGTCCTCAATCAAAAAACTGCACAAGCCGTCAGTTTCATATCAAAAAAAATGTACACACTCGGGAACTCGCCCCTCTGGAAACAAGGACAAAAAGGTTGCATAACTCGTCGGTCCCCAATGCAAAGAAGCTGCACAAGTCGCCAGTTCTCATAGAAAAGTGCGTACAACTGCGAAAACCGATCCCAACCCGAGGTAACGAATAACGTTGCACAACCCGTCGGTTCCCAACCCAAGAAACTGCACACATCCTTAATTATATGCAACAAGTTGCATACTTTCGAAAAACTACACCAAACCGAAGAAACGAATCACATTGCAAAACTCGTTGAACCCCAATCAGAAAAAACAAAAAACAAAAAAAAAACTGCACAAACCGTCAACTCCAAATTGAAGAACAGTTCCGCAAATTTGAAAATCCGAACCCTCCACGACCAAACGAAACACATCCTGCACAATGCCGAGAATATGCACAATTCCATATACGATTGACGGTCGATCCCATGTGCATGTGGTACTTCCAACTACCACTGCCACCCTAAGTCTAAGTTCGTAAAACTAGAAATTATTGTAAACACATCAGCTACTGCCACAATTTGTACGCAAGCATACAAGTAGCATCGAACACCCTTCGCCCCCTATCGACGACAAAAACGCCCACATGTCTCCTCCTCCTCCTCCTGCTCCTCCTTCTCCTCCTCCTGTTCCTCCTGCTCCTGCTCCTGCTCCTGCTCCTGCTCCTCCTCCTCCCCCTCCTCGATTCCTTTTCCCTGAGGCCAATTTTTAGGGCGGGCTGGTCGTTTCGCCTCAGAGTTCCTCACACTTGTGATCCTGAAGCTTCAAATGTGGCAACAGTTTCACACATGGAGGGCGGGTGGTTTTCAAAACGTGGCTCTCGCTTAGATTCGCGCACATTCGTTTTAAGCAATTGTTTCACGGATTGAAGGCGGGTCGTTTTCAAAATGTGGCTCTTGCCTCAGCGCCGCACATATTCGTTTTCAACATTTGCACAAACGTTTCACGGATTGAAGGCGGGTCGTTGTCAAGATGTGGTTCTCGCCTTGGCGCAGCGCGCATTCGTTTTAAACACGTGCCGCAATCTCACGGATTGAGGGCGGGTCGTTTTCAAACGCCTTAGCGCCGCGTGCACTCCTCATAAACATTTGCAGGGGTTTCACGGCTTGAGGCCGGTTCCTTTTCAACATGTGGCTCTCGCCTTAACGACGCGCAAATTCGTTCTTAAACGTTGCAAGAGTTTCACGGATTCCCATGATCAGCGTACCAGACATGGTGTTTGGGATAGATTCTGGAGTATAGGGCGCAGCAATTACGTTGATTCGCGGTGTTGAAGTCCCAGGAATGGCGTCCAGGCGCGATTCAAGATCGTCGAGACGAAACAGTCTGGTTGATCCGTGGCGTTGAAATCCCGAAAACAATGTTTTGGCATGCTTCAGGATCTTCAAACGGTTGTCTTCCAATGAGGCAGTTCCCTCAATGGATATGACCCGTTGTATGGGGCCTATGAAGAGGGAGTTTGGCGGGGGGGTTATTCCAACATCGTCGATGACTCTTTGGTTTACACTGGTCCTCCTACTCCTCCTCTTACTCCTCCGTTTCCTCCTCCTCCTCCTCCTCCTCCTCCTCCTCCTCCTCCTCCTCCTCCTCCACCCGTTGCCCCCCTCGCCCCTCCAGGAGGCTCCCCGCGCGCAACTCCACGCGCCGCCCGCCCCACGACAGCCCCGCCGGCGCTCCGCCGTCAGCGGGCGGCACCTCCGGGCGGCACTCGCCGCGGCTAAGGGAGGAGGAAGGAAAGGAAGAGGAGGAGGAAAACGAGGACGAGGGTGGAGGAGGGCGGATGAGGAGTACACCCTGCGAAATGCTTGAGAAATCATGGGTTAAGAGATTCATAGTCTCAGAATCCCACCAGCCCTTTGGGCGTGAGTGGTTTAGCGAGCTCTCTCTGTTCTCAACCCCCCAACCCCCCTTCTTCCCCTTCGGGGAGGGGTTTACCCCTCCCCCTACCCCCTCCCCCTGGGCCTGGAGAGGGAGTCCCGCGGGTGGTCAGGGGGGTCTTTTTCGACGCCTGGGAGGGCCAAAAAACGACGACCCTCACGAG